CAATCAAACTGCAGTTGGGTTATTTTGATTAAGTAAAAATAACTACAAAAATACAGCTAACTAACACACTAAAACACAATAAAAACATAATATAATAAAAAGCATGATTTTTGAGCAGATTGAGTTTTTGCAGATCTGTTTTTGCAAATAAACTCTTCATATATTATTGTTTTCTTTCTCAGCTTGTGGAAAAGCTGTTTGTGATGAGCTTTGGTTCATCGTGATTTTCTCATGACCACATGCTTTTGATGGTTATCAGTGTATTACTAAAGGTACTAAACAGATTTCAGTATTCTGAGTAGGTTGGTATATTAATATTATATTATTATATGAAATACGGGTTTTAAATGTAAATTTAAGCCTGTAAAACCTACCATATTTTTACAGTAACATTTTAGCAACCACAGCTGCCAGTTTTTTTTACTGTAAATTTCACGGATTTTTTTTTACAATGTAATCATGTAATGAAATGATATTTGTTTCTGGTTCTCTGTCAGTGGAGTGTGTGCTGGACAGTGGCTCTGATCTCTGGAGAGGGAGGGACTCACTCTTCGCCTCTGTCCAGTCGCTACTCTCCGAGTCCAGGTTCAGCTCGGGCCGCGCGCTAGTGCTCAGAGAGGCCAGCGCCGCAGCAGAGACCCCCACGGCGCCCACTACAACCCCGGTGATGCGGCGCGGCTTAACAGCCCCTCCACTCCGCCTGTGAAGTGACTTTGAGGCCGTGGAAACCTTCTCCCACCTGTCTGCTTTACGTAAGAGCCCCGGGGAGGGCAGCGCTTTGAGCGCATGAAGGGAGCGATGTGCAAGTCTGCTGATCAAACCGAGATGAGTCGGACATCTGTTCCCGGCGCTGGATGTGAACCCAACGCTTTTGGAGAGCCAAACACGAGCAGCAAGTTTTGACATCTGAAACGCCATGGTCTCTGTCTTGACAGCTGGCAGATCTAAAGTTTAAAGGCCGAATGTCTCCCGTCTGTGCCTTGATTTGATCCTTGTTGCGATTTGGAGTCTGTTGTAACAAGAGGTTTACAGTTTATTTGAAATAACAATAGTGAACTTGAAACTCAACTGTATGACAGTGAAAGCAGACGGGACTATACCAATATGTAGGGGTCCGTGAATTCATTCGTTATTTGGACTCTTCCGGATAAACATCATTCATCCTTTACTGACATCTAGCGGCACGATGCTGTAAGCGCAGTCTTTTAGTCAAGCTGTCCTGTTACTAATAGCCTGATTTTGGGTTGACTAGTACAATTGACATCAAGTTTTGTCAACGTCCTGATTTTGGATTACACTTGATATGAATT